CGCATGTCAGTGAGGCATATTGCAGAACTTGGTATTCACTTCAAGACAAAGAGAAAATTCAAAAAATGGCAGGTAATATAATAATTATTTACGGCTGCATTAATTTTTCCCTCTTTACCATTACCAACAACGATTACATGTTATAAAATAGATGGGACTGCATACTGCAGAGCGCGTATAAATGGCGCATACACACTTCCGAGTAGCATCATTACTTACTGCGAGTTAAAGTAACTAAAAGTCACTCACTGCGTGACGAATCAAAGGCGAATAACATTTACAAACAAAACAATAGAGATCACTTTCACTTTCTTATAGAATTATTTTCTGTACTTCGACACTATATTTTTTTCCGTGTTTTTCCGTATTTTTTCCGTATTCTTTGTTATCTACTCTTTTTTATAAAGGAGTGTGCTCAAAGTTTTTAAATTTGTAAAATTTATTGGTGAGAAATGATTTTTTAAGCGCGGATTCAATCGTGACACCAGTGATTCTGAAAAGATTAATATCAGCGTTGACCAAGCAAAATTACTTCATAATATAATCACTGGACGCTGAACGCAACTTGAATTTGTTCAGCAACTGAAATTACATAAGAAATACAGAATAAATATTATATAGGAAATTGACTCTTTTTAATCCACCATTGTTAATGGGAAGATATACATATTGTTATCTAATTTAATTTTTTAACAAAGCAATTGGCTCGAAGCCAGGTATTAACATTTTCTATTCCATGATTAATAAACTAATTTAATTTTGCCCTACAAGTCAGTGGAATAGATGATATCGATAAGGAATAGCATTGGCCAATACTTTATCGACGCTGTCCACGCCTTTGCAATCTAGAAAAAGTAACCTATAATTATGCCGTTATTAACATTATGCATGGAAAACTATAAAATGCAAAGTTGACAAGCGAAAGTCAAGATTGGAAAGACATTACGAATAGTTCAAAATTCCTTTAAATTTCTTTGAAAAGAACAACTAGTGCATCTGATTCCAGTCTACCCCTAGCAAAGTCCTTTTCGTCACCGAAATGAATTTTTTTAGCGCAATGATGTAATATTTTCAATATTTTCTCCAACAATATCTATCTTGGGAATGGAGAGCGTCTATACGCGAAAATATATCAAATAGCTGCTCTATCGATTATTATTTTAATACATAGATGAATTGCCTCCTTGTCCAACAAGTACGCAACAGATAGAAGTAGACAATCAATTTATAAAAGATTCAGCTGGTGGTCTCAGTGACTATTTTCATCCGGGAAGTACGTCTTGTTATCGATCCCGAGACGCTAGGTACGTTAATGTTTAAAGATTGCAGGACTGTTTTGGCACGGCGCTCCTCTCCAGCTATCAGCGCATAATATACGAAAACAAGGAGCAAAAAAGCTGTTAAACGTATACATATCAATCATATAATGGCTTAAAATCAAACCTACTATAAATAATTACTGATCATTCAGTTATAAATTAACTTGGATATATATTTTTTTTCGGAAAAATTCGAAAATTTTTGTGTTGGTGCATGGGCTGGGTATAATTTCACATGACAAATCGTCATAATGATTTTGTTGAAAAATAATTCTATTACTGAAAGTTTTTTTAAATTAATAGCTAGGGCACTAAGAAATAATTATTATTAGATTAAAATCTATAATCACTCTACAGCGTAGCTGTTATTTTTTTATTTTTCTGAAATATGCTCTGTTTTAAATCATAAATGTCTTTCATCGAAAAAACTTTTTTCCTCTAAAAATTTTTTTCTACTTGATATTTTGCTTTGAATATAGTCCATCGGGTACAGGTCAGCAATGTTGCTACAAAGGCAACTCACTGTTGGTTGGACCTCCTGGTGGCGGAACATTTGATATTGTATCTCCTGGAAGTAGTATTCTAGCTCACTTCGTACGAGATGTTATACCTTGGTTTGCTTGCTGCAAATACTCCAATTTTGACAACTGTTATAAATATTACGATGCAAGACCTTCCGATGATGGTTCAAGATATATTCCTCCACCGTTTGGTGATTATTTTTTTATGTTTTCCCATATACTGCATGAATTACCCAATTATATCGAATTGCCAGTGTTATACTGCAGTTCACCCAATATATCGTTCCGAATCATTCACCTCTGAGCTGTATAAAACAGTGCTTGCACTGGTTTTACCACATTTTTATCATCAAAGAAATATCTATGAAAATGATAGAAGATGTAAAGATCTTTGCAAACTTCTGGCTTCGGGGGGATGTTTTCATTTATTTAATGAATAAGATTTATTTCTATTGGATATGAATATGCGGTTAGTTTTTTCCGAAGTGAAATTCATCCATTAATAGTTTAGAGCACATATTTTTATAGATAATATTTTTTGAGATATTTTAACAGATTATAAAAAATCTCCCTTTTTTTGAAGCATATGCAAGTTCGTGATTTCTGAACATGTTTTGAATACACTGGCAACAAAGTGAAAACATTTATGTTATTGCATTCAGTTTTCTTAATTGCCCCACCAAACCTACGTTTACTGGTTTATCAACATGCATGCATGCAAGCAACTTTCAATCTTATGTTTTTATCTTCAATTTATAAATATAACACAATTTTTATATTTCAATCCAATTGCAGGTGGCATAAGAGGTGATCCTCATTTTTCAACATTTGATGGAACGTTATACACATTTAATGGTCATGGTGAATATATTCTTCTGAAAGTGAACAATGGCAAAGACCTCGAGTTTCAAGGACGGATGGTACCCATTCACGACGACACAGGAAGAAAAACAAGGGCAACGGCCCTCACCGCATTTGTTGTTAAATCAGCACAGAGTGACATTACACAGGTATTTTCATGCAGTTGAATGAGCCAAAGTTGAGATTGTTCGATGCATTTGGTACTTCTACATGAAACGTACAATAACAAATTTTAATTAAAATCTTGCTATTGGTATGTTTAACGCCTTCAGTTAATGAATAGGTTTGTATACCTATTTCAATACTATTATTTTTAGGTCGAGTTCAACAGCAGGCGAACCATAGACGTCTTCATCAACAGAGAGCGGGTCGTATTTGACGAACAAACAAGACTTGACTTCACCGGAGTTTTTATTGTTAAACAAAATCAAGCCAAATTCGGAATATATATGAATTCAGGAGTTTCAATTGATGTCTCAGCAATAGAAGATTTCCTGACTTATGAAATCTCAGTCCCTGTAAGATTCAAAGGTATTGAAAATATTCTCCATTTCTCCTCCTCTATTTTCTCAACATTGAACATCCTGAAACAAAAGTATCATCTTGTTTTGTTAATCCGTAATACTGATTCACCATGAGTTAATTGTCGCTGTACTATTCGTAATTCAATATTTTTAAATGCATAATTATACTACAAGAATATTGCAAATTAAGCCAAAGTTGAAAGAAGAAAACTGCTGATGAAAAACTATTCCTTTAGCCGCATTATAAAGTATTTTAAACGTAATTGCAATTGATATTAGTTTTTATTTTTCTTGATTTAAACACCCTTTTTTTTGCCAGGAAAAACGACTGGTCTTCTTGGGTTTTGGGATGACAACAAAGATCGCGAATTTTTATTACCAAATGGAAGTTTTATTGGCACAAATTCAAGTTTTCGAAAACTTCACACTGAATTTGGTCAGAAGTGTAAGTTTATTTTTTGTATCAAACTTTGGATAATTTTATTGTTATCAGCGAAACCTTAAACGCAATACTGGCAACTACCAATTGATTTCAACATTTTAGCAATTTTATTCGATCACTTCAAACACCACCCCATACTCGCTAGGCTTTTGCGCCCTTTAAGGCCTCAAAAACAACTTTGAGTGGTTTTTTTTCGGAAAGGCACAATTTACAACCCTTTATTTTCTATTCTTCTTTCTATTGAATAAGTTCAAATTTTCCATTTTTTTCTGAACACGCGTTCTGTAATTATTTGACAGCTCATCATAAACATCTGACAGCTGCGAAATGACCATTTTGAGGCTTAAAGTATACTTATACTTTATATAAAAGTCTGTGTGGTGTCCTCAGATATTGTGGTAGATTTTCTCATTGATACCTTAGCCGGTGGAATACTTACATACTTCCATTAAGTGGAATACCTCATTTATTACTTATTCTTATTGCCTTATTTATTCTTATACCTTCTGATAGATCTTTCTCGACATAGCATCGTTCCGAATGTTGTTGTCGACCGACATCTTAAAATCTTGAACCTCGCCTAATTTGTGCTTCTCTAGACAAGTTTCCATAATATAGAATGGTCCTTCTTCCATTCAACCTGTTTCATATGTTCACATCCACCGACATACGCAGTTCTCGATGATTGCCCAATATATAGATTGTCACATTCATTACATTTAATTTCGTAGGTCATCTCAGTTCTATATAAACACGATCCTTTTCCTCCTGATCTACAATTCCCACCTTTCGTGTACCAATTTCTCTTACTTTCCATTTTCTCTTTTTGTGTCTCGTTCTGCTTCCAACTTTTGCATCTGTACATTGGTCGTTCCTGGTTATCCTCTGCTTCCTTTCTCTTGTTATAACCGGTGGCGGATCTCATGGTCATGCTATACAAATTTTATGTTATTATCATGGTTCATTTCTTTAGAAATTCATTGTTTTCACATTCATTGTTTTCAAAATATTAACATAGCATGACTAAATTGTCGGGCTGGCTACACCACTGGTTATTACCTGCAAGTGATTCACCACCCCCTCATATCTAAACTTTTTCTTGTATTCCGAGTACTGCATACGTAAACAAACTGTTCGATTTTCTTGTGGAGAGTTCTTGTGGAGAAAATCGAACAGTTTGTTTTACCTATGCAGTTCTATGGATACAACAAAAAGTTTAGATATAAGGTGGATTTGGCACTTAAACCTTATAAGAAGAGAAAGGAAGCAGATCGAGGATAATGAGAACGACCGATGTACAGATGTGTACAGGTTGTAAGCAGAACGAAAGACAAAGTAGAAATACAGCAGGAGAGTGTATTATTTCACCTAACCTAAGTAACAAAATTAATCCTAAAATTTTTATATAATTTTCCAAACTTATATTATTGCACCATTTTCGATTGTTCTTGTTCAGTTCATTTCTAGATCTCACGATCATCGTCTGGTGTGTGTGGGATTCGTAAATTCGGGTTCTGCACATTCATGCAAATATTTTTAACTAACAAAAATCTGCCTAGTAACATGGAAACAAAGGATCTTAGTGTCAGGAAGAAAAGGAAGTGAATTTTGACCTCCATCTTACAAGTATTGATCAGTTTATTTCCTTCATACTTTTAGGGATCGTAGAGAGGAATATGACTTTGTTTAAATACCATCCTGGAAAGAGTTACAACAGCTTCTCCAATAAAAACTTCATACCAGCTTTTCTGGACGAGACCGGGTCGTTATTCTCTAATCTTACTTTAGAGCAAGAAGCAAGGCGTATTTGTGAGGGGAATGAGGAATGTTTGTTTGATATCGCAATTACTGGTAAAAAAGATATTGGTGAAGCAACATTACAATCTTTGATTAAGATAAAGAAAAAGAAAAAGTTATCAAAAATTGGTAAGGAAGGGTTGAAAAAACGACATACCGCTACAGTTCTAAAATTTGAAGCATTTAGTAATTTTATCAAATAATTTCGTGATCTCTGAAAGAAAGTAGAATCTATGCCACCAAAAAAAGAGACGCTATGGACTTCAAGAATGAGGCAGTCTCAACAACCCCTGAAGCAACTAAGTGAGGAGGGGGGGGGGTTTAGCCATATATTGGTTAGAATATGAAACGATTTACCTCATCATGGAAGAAATAGCGATACATTAAATTCGTCATATCATGAAAGTTAATTTCCTCTAAAAAAATCAAGTCTGACGTCAAATTTTGTAATTTATGATTGCGAATAGTCTTATCCTAGTAGAAATGTGGGCATTTACTTGGAAGTGAGCTTTTGCTTGAATTAGATGGCGTATTTAAAGTTTTATTCTATCCTATTAATGTGTGATCAATACCAAAAAATAGGCATTCAACACGCGCTAACTCTTTAAAACGTTTAAAAACGTGAGTTTCCTTCCATATATTTACAATCACTATTTTTGTCGAAACTCAATTTCTTTTCCTCCGTAAATTTTCGATTCAATTTTCAGCATCTTTTCCTCCTTTTCTTTGCTTTTCGTTTGATCCGGTAAATTGACACTCTTATCTTCCCTTCTCATAAATCCCCAGTTTTTATGTAATTACAATACATGTAAAAAGTTACATTTTACAAAAAGCATTCCTTTTTAAGTCTCATGATCTTAAAAGGCCTATCATAACCGGTTTTTGTGTCAAGAAGTACTGTGTCTCTCAGTATTTCATGGATGAAAACACTTGTCGAGCAAGAAGAAATAAAATTACTACTATATCATAGTAACTGTAATTAAGGAAAGATTTTGGCAACTAACAAAGGCATACTTACACAATTTGTAGTTGCCAAGCCTATTATCTTTGGTTGTGATGGAGTTGAGAACAGTTGGAAAAAAGTAGATTTTTGCGGAGATTGTGGAGGAGACAACTCAACTTGTACAGATTGTGAAGGTCGCGTTAGACGTGGTTTCCTTAACACAGAAACATGTGGTACGTATGATTTACAATATATTCAGAATCAAAATTGACAACAATCCTAACAGACTTACAGATAAGAAATATTTTTCAATCGAAGAAACAGTCAACCTTATCAACTTGTTTTTACATCATGTGGTGGATTGAATATTTTTCCTGATTGCTTTCTTTAGCCACCTTTTATCTAGGTTTGTACGTGTGTTTCATGTCTCCATTTTATATTGCAGATGATAACAAAACATTGAAGTTTTATCTTCTTGTCATTGGTGTTCCAGTTCTTGTTTTGATTCTTATCATTGCAAGTGGTGCAGTGTGCTACTGGGTTAGGAAACCCTCGCGCATTTTGAGAAAATCACATGCCTCGTCTCATACCAACAAAGCATATGGCATATCGTAACACCATATCTGGTATACGAGCTATGCGGGGGTGTTAGAAAACTGTATTACCGTGTAAAGAAACGTATTACCGTAGTCTAGTGGGGCGTATAAGATAGTTCTGTTATAACCTAGTTTGAGCATTTAGCTAGTTATTACGCCAATAAGCATGCCATATATATGTAGATTAGAAAGTTATGGTTTCCTTTTTCATCTTGAAAAGAAAATTTTTAACAACAAGTGCAGATATTAAAACATTTGTAATCCAGGCATATTAGTTTGTCAATGAATGTTCTCCGGATTAAATCTTTTTAATTGAGCTTTCCACTCCGTACTCCGGGTCTTTTTCAGAATAGCATTTACGTTATAGGGTCAAATTTAACGGGTTGATTGAAAATTAGATCCTTAATTCCTTGCAGGGGCGGCGGAACATAATATATTTTAGGGGGGCTAATTTCACGAGGCGCCACCATGGTTGGCGCCGAGGGAAATATTTTTGGAATTTCAATGCTCTAGATCTTCGGAAATGGCCATTTCAGAGTGTTACTTCCCACTTTCATCGTAGTTTTTCATGGGCAAACACAAACTAACAAGTACGTAAATACTAATGACGCGTGCTCGTGTGCGCTCGCGCATGCGCTTAGGTGCTAACATGTTACACGCGTTGGTATGACAATTATGCACATATTAGAGAAAAATGGTCTCAACCGACCCGATGGGCCGATGCGGACGCGGTCGATCGGACGGCATACAAATTGAATTCGGCACTGCATTAAAATTGTTTAAAATTGCTTGTTTTTACAATATGATAGCCCACACAACATTGTTCACAAACGATATTCGAGTAGTCGGTAGTTTATTTATTTATTATCAATGATGTCTTTTAATGCCGCGTCGTCATCTTCTGTAAACGAAGAGTTTAGAATAGCATCCAATTGATCTTTTTCTTTCTGAATGCTCTTCAACATTCTTGAACAGGCTTGAACAGCGTTCGACAGCGCTGTTACAAGTACAACAGCACTGTTTAAGCCTGTTTGTTCAACACTACAGTCCTGTTTATGAATGATAGCAGCACTGTTTAGGGCCTGTTGAACAAAACAGCGCTGCTGACAGTCATGAACAGGTATATGATATAATGATAACAGCACTGTTTTATTTGGCCAGCTCAATTAAGGCTATTCATTCCTGTTGAATGTGTGTAGAATGGACATTATAATATGCATGTTCGATTTCGTGTTGGTTTTTTGTTTACTGAACCTACCAATTATCAATTGTACTCTCAAATTAATTAGACAGGACAATTACGCATTCTATATCACTGCCCACGCGAACTAAACAAACTCTTATTAGAATTGCAAAATTTGTTAGGTCCATTACTGTGATTTCAATGCCCTGTTATCGATGACTGAATAAAAAATCTCCACATGTTTCCACGTATTATACTGTATTAAGTCCGGCATTAAGTCCGATAAAAAATAATTACACAAATGTCAATGTCAATAAGTTGAACGTTGAAGAAGAACTGGGCATGCGCTCAGGGCGAATACGTCCCACAAGCGTTGTTTCATGACACCATGCATATATTAGAGTAATATGCGGACCGACCGACCGACCGACCTACCGACCGACCAACGGACCTACAAAGGTTATCGTAGAGACTCGTAGCACGCGTCTAAAAATGGCACAGCGCGTGTAGTGATATCTCCTACATTTGAAAAATCATCTCTCAAATTCTGAAAATAATTTCCAAACAAAATGGCGCTCCGAAAATAATACAATACAACACGAATATTCTGCTGTTAAAGACAACTATGAAAAATCAACGAAAGTCAATTTACATTCACTTGATCCGTATCACAATATAGGATATCTTATTAGCATTTAATACGCCGGCGAGCAATAATTTGACGACTTCGTTTGTATATTTGCTCTCCCATCATTCTGGCTTTCTTCATGAAAGTTTTTTTGGGGGGCTTTTACTTCCGGGGGGGGGCTTTAGCCCCCCTAGCCCCCCCCCCCTGTTCCGCCGCCCCTGATTCCTTGCACTTATCTGAGTTTTTTAATTGCATTCTGTTTTGGACTACGAAGACATAACCTTGTGTTACATAACTTTGTGAGAAAGACGAGAAGGCTCTATATAGCAATATCTTAGTCTGAATGAACTTACGAAAAAGTTAATGTCGTAAAGTTAATGCCCCTCCCCAATTAAGATTCTAGCTACGGCCTTTGCACCACTACTTAATATGCATTTCATGTTACTATGGATCACATTTTGTTGATCTTCGCAAATGTATGCTTGTTCCTTGATATAATTCTTCTTACGGTGGAAATTGGCATACAGTTATTCCAATGTGAGTTGCGGATTTTCGGCTTGGAAATAACAAATAAGTAACAGGAAAATCATGGCATTTCCTGGTTACATGCATAATCCACATATATATGTACTGTAAACTCCAATTTTTTTAGTATAACAGGATGCAGACGAATAGAGACGATTTACCTTAAACTATATTATTGCAGAGATCTAGTTTTTATTTTGTCAACACAATTTTAAAGCCCGTTCCTCGTAGATTAATTCCTCGATGATAATTAATATACTTCATTTGTGTCGTTCAGTTATATATGGATAAACAAACATAAACGTTTTTACTGATTTAGCTTGCACAACAACGAGCGAAACTTACAGACATGCACATGCACAGTTAAGGTTGTTTGCAATTTGAACTTGCCGTAAATGGACATGTCTTTATGTTACGTTTACCCTGTTTTATATAATATTTTAACACAGTTTCAAAGGATATTTTGTCTAATTCCTTAGAATTTGCCGGAAACATTCTTTTGGCGACGCGACATTTTTCAATTTGATCGGGCATGAGTGAATAAGGTTACTTATTATCTCCGAGCCGGTGCGGAGCAAACGTGCGAGGGTATACTAATTCCGCTAGGAGATTAAGTACAACCGGGTATTTTGATAGAACACAGCGGAATCAAATTCTATGTCATCGACGACCGACGTTCCGTAGTTTTGTAAGTTATATGCTATGCATGCGCGAAATTTAAGCGAGAAAAGACTGGTAATCAGCAATGTCCTGATTAGCTATATGGTGGAATCTTGGTATTCAATAGACCTTTGAGGTGCTTACGTCATGTCGGTCTCGAACAATGAATCGCAATGCAATCTGGGAAACAAGTGGGACAAAATTGTATAGATAGAAAACTGTGTGACGTAAGCACTATAGAAGGCTATTGAGAACAAACACTCGTATAAACGACTCATATTCGTTGTCACAAGCCCCGGCCGCCAAAACAGTTTTTGCAGTGTAAATTGATGGTGAACACCATGTTTAATTTAGGATTTGGTCGCAGTGACTTAAATTAACCACGGTTTATTTAAGTCGGGATTTATTTTCGCTCTTATAAATGGGCTTAATGTATAAATTGATCAAAAACAACTTTGAAAGTCTCACCGCGACTAAAATAATGTAATTAAGAGCTCTAAATAGTGGCTTAATTGTTCTAGACCCAGGTGTTGATCTATTATCTTTCTCTGTGAGCAATGATTGTGATATAGCCTGACAAGATAAAATTACTAACAATGAAAATGTTTAGTTGTACAGAGAGAGGAATGAAATTAAGGAGAGACATTTCATGTCTTGCACTAATTTTTTGAGGCATATACCACATTTGAAATCCATTGCTTGTAATAATTTCTATATGTACTCATCCTTTGGTATGTGCATATAGTACCAAATATAATTTTATTTTAATTTGATAAAATGTTGCAAAAGTGCTTAGCATGTGTTGTTTTGATTTTCAATCAATGGTAACAATTTAAAATGGTGAGTATAAACTCCCCTGTGCATGCATTTGGCAACGTCGTTTCTATATTAGCGGCAGCACTGTTATATGCTTTGCAGAAAAATTTATTTGCATGCACTCTGTGATTTCAAACCCCATGTATGTAGTTGCTCTAATATATAGAGGGATATAAAATATTTTCTATTGAATTTTAAACATTGTGACCACAAAGAATTTAGTTTAATTTAATATCACAACTATTAATTAGCGAGTAGTGAATGACTTGTGGTATACTCTTTAAACATCATAACACATGCATATCTGGTCGTATGCTCACAAAATATATAACTTTTATGCCTATATAGAAAGGTATGGCGACAGAAATAGCGAGATTGCAGCTTTAGCTTTCCGAAGAAAATATGGCGATGGTGCATGCAATCAACAAAATGATCAGTTTAAAAGTTTATGTGAGAGATTTCATAGCACCAGCCGTTTTAATCCTACACTAACTCGAACTCCCAAGGGGACAGGAAAATTGTTCGAGTTACCAGGGGTTCGAAATAACCGGGGTTGGTGTCAGATTACGTTTATATTTACGTACATTGGATTGCCGCAGTTAATGCGTTTACTTGCTAATAATGAAATACTGCATGATTAAAGCAGCGACACCATAAATGTTAACCGGACATTAAGGTTAACTGAGGTTGATATGTAGAGGTGTTACAAAAAGATCAATAACGATCGTGCCACTACAGATAATCTTTTAAAATTTAAAATCAATCATACATTTATACACCGATTAACTGGTTGTTATTTCGATAGATTCCAGTTGTCAAAATTATTCTGAATTTTGAAGTTTGCTGATATATGATTCGAATTTCGAAACCAAAGTTCGAGTTAACCGATAATATTCGACCAAGGGAAAACAAAATTTATACGAATTAGCGAGGATTTCGAGTTAAGTGAGTTCGAGTTAGCGGGGGACCACTCTATGTCTCATGGAAACATTTTTTCGCACGGAAAGTTGTTTTATCGAATCCTGTCAAGATGTATTGTAATCGGATTTCAATCAACAACTTATAAAATTAATGGCTGAAATTTTCCATCCATCTTTAAAATCTGTAGTTTGTAGTGCCTCGCACGCACTGTTTGTCAAATAGAGTCCTTGGCCTGGAAATTTATCTCGACTCCTCCCTATATTTCAGTATAAATGTCCTATTGATATTATCATATAGTTGAGGTTTAAATTTTTATCGACTTAAAATGAATACAATAGAGCACAACGGAGGTTCTCATACCACAAAATCAAGTGTGTTAGGTCTAAGTATAAGCGTTGTTCTTTCGCTAGGTGTCCGCGACCTAAGCTTGCATGTAAGGCATAATTTCATTTTATTAACCGCAGCGCATAGGCAATTAAAGCTTAAAAGTAAAACAAATTTTAAAATATTCTTAAGGTGATACCCTTAGGCTTGACCGCAGCTAGAGGCTACAGGTAT